ACCATTTCCCTGATGCCTACCCCTCCTCCTCACTTAATTTGTCATATCAAACAACCTAAACGTTCGACGTCACCCTCTCTTACTATATCCTCTTCTACACCTTCCTCTTCTTCTGTGCCTCAGATATCTATCTCCTCTTCTCCTCCTTATAAGAGAACCTATGTTTCTCAGTCCTCTTCACCCAACTCCCCTCCAGAAACCATTGGAGACATCTCAAACTTCCTAAAGATGACCCAGAGAAACACTCCACTCCCTCACCCACCTCCCAGTCCCTCTGTTCCTACTCCTTCTACATTTAAAGTATTTGCAGATATCCATGCTTCTCCTCAAATTCCCTCCACCCCCCTTCCTCCTACATCCTCCCAACATACCCCACCTTTTCTACCGCTTATACTTGAATACTCACTCGAATCCCCTCTATCACAACAATGTCCTTCTCCAGACCCCTCCCTTCCAGACATTCTTCCTGATACTTAACCACATTCCTCAGTCCCCCTTTCTCATCCCCTGAATTCATTTCCTCCTACTTCTCCAACAGCCACCTCTGTTTTCCTTGAACAATATCCCTATTCCTTCCCCAGTCACAGATACAATGCAGTTCACTCAATTGCCATACCCCCTTAACCTTTTTCATTTTACTAATCCCTGCTCTACTTAATTTACTTCCCTCTCTTCCCTTTTCATTACTATACTTTCCTATTACACCCTCTAATCTTTGACATCTAACACCTTCCCCTCTCCCCGGATATTCTCCTACTTTTCCAACAACCATCTATTTTTCCTTGAACATTTTTCCTATACCTTCCCCAGTGAAAGATACACTATAATTCACTCAATCACCCTTCCTCCTTAACCCTCCCCTTTCTACTAATCTTTGCTCTAGTTCACTTACTCCCCTATTTTAACCTTTCACTACCATATTATCCCATAGTGCTCTCTAATCCTTGACATCTAACACATTTTATTGTAATCTTTAACTTTTCTTTGCTCTTTCCAACAATACTTTACTATAGTGCTATATGACCTTTCATGTCTAGCACATTTATTTGTTTCAAACATTAAACATTACTCATTCAGTGTCTGTGTACCAAGATTTTGCAAGAGTTCCTGGTTGCACATCAGAGTGATTTACAGTAGTCAATGATCAAAATAATTATGTAACATCGATATGTAATGAGGAATTTACTAAAAGTTTAAAAACTTTCAAGCATTTTGTTATCTGAAAAGTTTTAGGATGTGCATTCTTGAAGTGTGCACTTGGTAACCATTGCACGCTGCACACTGCAAATTTTTTTCATGCACACCTGAGATCTCATCAAAAAGTCCCGTACTTTCCATACTGGTCTGTGTCTGTCTTGGGTCTTCAGGATATTATGTAAAAAGGCATTATAGCGCAAAGGTTTTCTGCACATTTGTGTGTTTCCTGATTTGTCTTTTTGTGTGTGAGTATGTATGTACATACTTTTTTCTTATATATTTATGTATAACTATATACAATACATATATTGCTTGAATGAATAACTTCAGCATTTGTTTACTTCTTCTTTGACGTTGGTTATATAAAAAATCAACCAGTAAGTAAACCAATACAAATGTTATTTTATATAAAATTCCTGATCCTGGAAAACAAAGATATTGTACCAGTATATTATATTTGGATCCTCAGATTATTTCCTCTCAAAGTATAAAAACTTAATCTTTCAGATAGCAGCAAGAAATTCCTTGGAACATGTGGCCGTTGGTGATGAATGTGCTGAGGGCGTATGCGCCCTACATCACTTTGCCTGCAGCAGCGGTCATAGGGTTTGTGGGGTAAGATAAAAAATGTAGGTCTCTGTTTCTTGATATTAAAAATTGGATTAAAGTTTTTTTCAAAGGACTTTATAGATTGTAATTTGGGATATTGTAAGTGATTTTGTAGTGTGCATCCTGGTTAATTGTAATTATGTTGTAGTTTGTAAGTTAAGTTTGCTTTATATGATTTTATAACTTGAACTGAACTGTAAAGTTATTTTATATGATTTTACAACTTGTACTTCAAGGATATTTTGTATGATTTTAAGCTTATCTTATATGATTTTGAGCTTATTTTATTTGATTTTTTAGCTAGTAAATTAAAGTTATTTCATAGGAATGTGTAATTTATACTTCAGATTTATTTTATCTGATAGGATAGCTTATATTTAATGATACTATAGATATTTTAATAGACTGAACATTGAGGCAATTTGAATGTGATATTAGACTGTATCTTATTCTCTAAATGAAAGTGTAGAATCTGAGGATTTTTTAATCTTAAAAGTTTAATGCAGCAAGGAATGTAGATTGGCTGTAAGACGTAAATAACAAGAGAGACAAATAATTGTAAAAATAATAGAGACAAGACTAAAGAAAAAGAAAAAACAACAAAAACTTAAAGTATTTCTTATTTGGAAATAGATTTTGGGAAGAAACATGTGGATCTACTGTATGACAGGTCTTGTTTGAGAATGGTTATTTAGTTTACATACTTTTTTGATAATGTAATGACGTAGATGTGTACGTTGTGCCAAGGTAAAAATGGTAATGTAATTTGCTGTTAATTTTTTTTTTTGTTAGATTAATCAAACTATGGATAAGTATGAGTAATTTTACTTGGGAAAATATAGAATTGATCTTTTGATAATCATATTATGTAATTCTGTCATCAAAATGTTAACTGCCTTGAGAGCCAATAATTTTCATTCATACCCATTGTACCATGAACGTATGCTAATAAAATCTTAAATTTGGATAATTTTGTTGATATGATTTTTTTTCTGTTAAGAATGAATAAGATTGAGAGTGTTGGATAATGCTAAATGTTTTTAAAAACTGAGTAATTTATCAGAGAATGATAATTTTGTATTAACCAAATCATTAATTACCAATGTACATTAACTCCACTTATGAGACGTAGAAATCAATTTTATTTAAGTTGATAACTATAACTGATAACCCACCAAAAAATGTAAGACATACTTCATTGAAACTATTGTTCATGCTGCCAAATATACTTCATAGAGTTTTGATAAGTTATTGATCTGTATTTTTCATATGTTTCATGAATAAATTTTCCCAGTGTGTCAGATAACAATTTGATGAACATGAGTCATAATGATGTATTTTATGATACTATGAAAGGTATTCATATTGTAATATCTTCATGTTTTGCATTATTGTGATATTGGTTCTTACTATGGTCATATACAGATCTAATCCTTTTTTATCAAGTTATTTATTATATGCTCGTAGATTTGTATGTTATTTATGGATGAAAGAGAATATTCCCAAATAAGTTATGGAGCATTGCCTATTATATTTCTTAGAAATATGTTAATTTGTAATTTGTATTTTGAATCTACTCAAGTGTATGAAGTTATCATACCATGTTTATATTATGAAGACGGCAGGGAAAAAAGTGAGTGTAAAAGTAAGTCCCATGTAAAGTAAAACAGAGGCTAATGGTAGATTCATATGTAGAGCAAAAAGCCTGAGAAATTTAATCATTGGAAGTAGTGCTATATTCAGCAACCCACAGAGTGAGAGAAAGAAAAAGGAATTTTGCAAGGATGATCTTTTCTAGATTGCACCCTTCAGACTTGTCCATTTTGCAGGGATTGATAGGAGGTAATGAGCATATGACTAAAAGGATATGCAGGGATTGCAGTAATGATAAAGCTAATAAATGATAAACAGAAGGATAAGAAGTTATTCTGAATATGAAATTAATTTTGGAATGGATAAATAAAATGTGATAAAAAGGTTACCAATATACATTTCTGTCTGTCATATTGGTGTAATATTTTGAAATTAATTTCCTCAATTACTACTTCAGCCATATCCATTTCCCAACAGGTACAACATCGAAAAGCACTTTCGCACCCCTCCACCCAATCGCCCGTCTATTGAAGAGCAGCGGAATGAGAGGCTTTTGAAGGAACTCCTGGAAGCTAAGGAAGCAGCACCTGCACCTCTCAGTGAAAAGACCTTTGTTCCAAAGACGATATTTGAGAAAAATTTGTCACCTTCTTTAGCGAAAGAGGAATAAGACTGTGATTCATGTAGACTGAATGTGTGAATAATTGATACCTCGTAATATTGCTATTTTGATTATTTTGTGGGGAGGGATTGTCAACTGAAGGAGCTGTAGTATGGACTAATTGTTATAACTCTTACATCAGGACCCCAACTCACTTTTATTTGTAAATATGGGCAGGGGAAGATAAAAAAAGAGTTATTAGGATAACACTAATAAGATATTTTTATAAGTTTAAGTTGAAGAAAATTCTCCCAATATAACAAAGTCCACTTTCACTTGAGGGATGCAGCTATTGGCTTAAGGAATGGGTCATTAAGATAAGTACAGACTCAACAATATGCTAGCATTTTATTACAGTTGTATATTAAATTTTGAATATTCCCATTGCCTTGTATATGTGAATTGTCTAGCACCCCAACTCCTTGTCACAACAACAGTATGCGTGTATATTATGTATATTATTCAGTACAAGCCCAGATGTACTTCCATAAAAGAATGGGGTTACCTTTCAAAAGCTATTGTGTAAATAAAGAGAAGATGAGGAAAAGTTGATTATGTACAAATATAGAATTGATAACTTTAATAGGAATTGTTCATATTTATTCAGTTGATATAATAAACTTTGCTCATAGAAGAAATGCTTGGGATATGATATTACACATTTGACATTTTTAGATTTTCAAAATAAAGTTTTTAAATTCCCAAAAAATGAAGTTCTTTTCAGCTATTTAGATGGAGTGAATGGAATATTAGATATTTATTTTTTAATCCATTCTGTTGGTTGTAATCATTAGCTAGAACACACTTATGCAGAATTATTAATATAAAAGAAATAATTTCTACACTTTCTTCAAGATTATCAGCAAAATAATTTAAATGTTTTCTTTTAAAGTCTAAAACAAATTCATAATTTTTACACCAAATAAAAGCTTTTTCTTCA